AGTAATGAAGTTACTACACAACAATCGATCTGCTGCACTAAAGTTTAACAATCCTATTATTAACAGCACAATATCTGCACAGAAATCTTCGCACTAGAGACAACAGAACAGAACGGTACATCAGAAGCAGCCAATAAAGTCGTAAAAAGAGTAGCTCGATCATCCCTCATTGATGCCTACATGCTGCCAAGCTACTGGCCCTGGGTATTACGACATACAAGCTTCGTTGTAAACCGTCTATGCTGCATACGTAACAAAAAAAGCTACCAATAATTGACTTCACAAAGGGCTTCGAAAATCCCATCCAGAGAAGATTGATTCCAGAAACATGCCCCGGTTTGGCTGCCGTGCATTTAAATAAACAAGTCCAAATCCGGGGGGAGTTCCAGTCAACAGCAGAAAAGGGATGGTTTGTAGGGTTTAGGCCAACACCAACAGAAACTATCTCATTTACCATCCACATTAAACCCCAGTTAAGGGGTGTAAACGGATTGAGAGTTTCACAACTCATGCATCTTTCAATGAGGGTAATGCATTTGGCGAAGAACTTATTCAAGATAATCATCATCTACCCCAGAAACAAAACAACCCTTCTCACAAAAACATATATCCCAGCTCCCATTTGAGTCTGAGGGGGAGCATCTGCAAGTGTGACGGCTGGTTCCTGTAGCCTATGTTGGCTAACATAGGCTTGGTCCGATTTAGGGTGCGCACGATCGATCGATCTAATATCGGAGCATCGGAATCTGCATAGCATCCGATTCAACAGTGCAGCTCAACATGGCACCACTTGTCGGTGAGAAGCTATCGGCTGGGAATGTACGAGATCGGACACAACCTCCTCAATTGATAGTGCAATGACGTCGTAGAGCATGAGGCTCTTTTGTATATAAACATGTGTAGATAGATCTTGTTATAGCTCTCTCCTTAGAATTATTATCTGCTACCATCAACCACATAGTTGCTCCAGCACCTGTCCTAGAATCCGTGACAGCAAGGTTACAGGTCGCAGCATCCTCCAATGCGACCAGAAGGTTTTCAATCTCAACATCCAAAAATAGAGATATTAGCAGTCGACTAGAGATGATCCACAGACTGAGCTACAAGCTCAGCAGGGAAACTGGCCATCAAATCATTAACCGCCATTTAACATTCAGCCATTGGTACCATATAACAAACTGAATGTAAGCCAAAAGAGGTAATGATACAACATCAGAATGCTCCGCCAGTCACTTTAGCAGACACATTGCCGAACAGTCTAATAAACATGTAGTTAGATACATCACAAGACATGACGCCAAGCACATCTCCGAAACCTCCCATTTCATGGCAGCACGGGAATAGAACTAGTAGCAATCCAACCCGATAATGAGCCAGATTCATCAAAGGAGCCAGAGTACGAAAATGAGTATCAGTCAGATAATGCAAATGACCAAAAAACTTCACCTGACCTTTATCTTGTACCAGACAAAGGAGAAGTGACATTCGCAAACAAATAGGGGAGTCAGCACAAAATTCTAATCTCAAAGAATCATTCAGTCAGGAGGAGCCCGTTTTTATGTGCGAAACTTTTAGTTGAACTCGGTGGCTACCGTTTCTAGCATATGCTTGAATACGGGTGTAAAATGGTTGTGTATTGGTTGTCTCTAATCTATCTACAAGATGAGGGATCCATATCAGTATTCACGTAGGCGCTCGTGCACGCCACGCTTAACCTTGCTGCCAAAGGTATCTACATATCATAGGCTGCTATGGATCCAAACAGAAACATAAGCAGTTCCTTTTGACAAGATAATGACTGTTTAGAATTCTAGACCTCCTGTAGCGAGACAAAGTTACTTCCACATTCCTCAACAGCTGTTCAAACAAACAAAGAGGTACAGAGAAGTTAAACAGGTTGAATTTTATTGCCTGTATCATGGCCTATAAGCCATCCAAGAAACTAGTGCATCAATCAACCACCTCCAGGTGGCACGCCGTATCCTAAGATATATTGCAAAGAAACCTGAGAAAAGCTTACCTTCACAAAATAAAGGGACAAACAATTCTTGAAACATATTCAGGTGCCCATTTAGAGTCTGACCCATCAAGCTGGTGGTTTTCATGAGGCATGTTGTTAGACACTGAGGGTCAAAATGAAAAATGTAAAATAAACTTGTATTGTTAGACTCGTAGAGTCAATTGAATAATGTAAGAAGTAAAAAGTGCCAATTAATTCCTGGCTGCCATTTCTCTTTCTGTTACTTTCTAGGTTATGTACGTCCAGAAAATAGCAAATGCTCTATCTTTCCCCAAATTGTCCCCATGAACTGAGTTTCTCACGGTTTAGAACGAAACATCTCTAGTTGTGACGACTGTCAAGCCTAAGGGTTCCTGTAGCCTACGCTGTTTAGCGCAGGCAATTATACGAAGGGAGGTTCCTGGGAAGATCTTGGATGGCAGGGAACCTAGATGATTCACATTGAGCCTTGTTGAAACCTACTGAGAATTCATGAGGGTTACAGAAGTATCAAGGATCTTCTAGACGATTATCGGAGAGTCTGAGTTGTCAGGTCATAGAGAGAACCTTATCGAGGAGGGATATTTCAGACTGTATATATAGGTAGTCATTAAGTACAGGAATTCTCTCTTCAGAGAATTATAATTAAAATATTGTACCTACAACATCGCTCATGCATTTTGTAATGAAACCGTGACACTAGTCAGAGGATATAGAGTTCCCATTGCTATAACCTAAAACATGCAATATTGCCTCAAACCAGTTAGAACCGAGGCCGTAACAGCTGCTGTTGCCACGGCAGTTAGCGCTACTCCCGTCTCTGTACTCGCGTCCCAGAATAATGAGATGAATTCAGACAGCTCTGATACAACCTGGGTTGTCCACTTTCCTCAAGACCGTAGCCGTCTTTCACGCGTTCTCTATCTCTAGATGCAGCACCGTCACCCGAATCCTTCCTAAAAGCTCGTCAGTAGCATAATGCAGGATGTGCTGGCTTTGGTACAATAGCCGCGCTTGTTCCTCTGTCCCAAGATGCCTCCTTTGTGGGTCTACTCAACACACAGAGAAGGATCACAATAACCTCTGCGCTGCTCCGGCTGGACGTACCTGCCCACCGCGACATGTGCAGTGTCACGGCCTCATCCAGTAGACGACCTAACTTGTGAACCACGCCTACAACTCTCTAATTCACAAAAGATAAAACCACAGGTTATTGCCATCCGGAAGATCTTCTCTGAGGCACGCATCCGCCACCAAGTAGAATCAGGATGCGTTGAACCCTCTGACACTACGCGGAGTCTCAACACCTCCCATACATCGCAGCACACTAGCTATTCAACAGTTTCCCAGGGAGCAGGACCATCAAGAATCGCAGCCGCAGCCAAGCGAACTATTTTCTTAAACCCTTTCGGGATCTTGAGGACATCGTACGGAGCCTCAGATGATCAGATGGAACTCTGAAAAGATAGAAGTCAACGTGGCAACCTTTCAGCTTGCCTTGTGCCAGTTTATTTCGTACTAACTTGCCCTCTCATTTGTGGGTATTGCATTTATACTAAAGGGGGGCTTTTTTTAATTTTTAATTTTTCCCGAATATATCTTTTCCATCATTTATCAGTGTCGTATCTTAGTCATTTGATACTCTCTTTAAATGTTAATCAGGTCTCGCCTTCCTTGGTTAGGGAGTTTTAGCCCTCTGACAACAGAGGCAGTGAGCCTTCGCGTCCTTTGCCCTTTTGGGTTTTATATATGACAAGCACGGGCCTGTTTTTAGAAAGACGCTGAATATAAAAGAAACAAACAACAACATATGCACACAACCGGAGGGCGAAGGCTGAACACCTGTCAGTAGTGCCATCTACGAACCTCGGAGCGAAATATTCTCCCAGAGCCGAGATTCAGTCACGAAAAAGGGTAGAATGAATTTGTTTTTGATGGACTTTCGACTTGAAGGAGTCGCACTTCATATTTTGGTCGAAAAATCAGTTGGCAGAGATTTCACAGCCGGAAAAAAGTTGAACAAAGACTCATCACTACTAACATACGATTCACGAATGGTCCTAGGTCTGTCTAGGAGTTGCATTCAAACATCCAACATCTCTCAAACTCCTTATACATTTGCGACGAAGCATTTCTCAGTCGATCCTATACCTGCGACCCACTTCCATACTCGTCCGATCACCTACCTACATACGCCCTAATTAGGAAAGTCATGATGGAAACAGGACGTAAACAATGAAGGAAGAAAAGGGAAGATACACCGAGTGGATCACACTAATCCCCAATGACGACAACAATCCGACGGTACGATATGAAGGTGCAAGGCTAGAGTAACGATAAGATCTGGGACAACATTTATATTTCGGAGTCAATGAGAATGTCAAGGGCTCGGGCGCGTGGTGGCCGAGACTGAGGAGGAATTTGCGCCACGGCATGTACGCAGCGGGTTTCTGGACGGTTGGGCTTGACATAATTCAACACATGGGTGAAGTCTAAGGTGGTCCGGTCATTAAAGTGGGACGAGGTTTATCTGTACTTCACAGTAGTTAACCTGATCCGGCCCAACCCCACTTATGCTTAAGCTCCAATAGGAGTGCAATAGTAGTCATGTAACCTAGCACGTTAATGAAGAAAACAAAACAAAACATGCACATAACCACTGTACACATTATTCATACAAATACTTCGAATCTAGCCACATACCTCTGCTGTTAAGTTAAGTCTGGCTCCGTTTAAAATCCCCCCTCTCACAAAATTTTCTCCTTCTACCCACATTATTCTAAAGCCTAAGAAGAATTTATCCAGTGTTGCTAAGCCGCGCATAAAAAAAACCGCTTCATACAGTTGGCGCGTCTGCCAATGTGAGAGCTACAGGCTCAACGCCCTCCCACGCACCCCTCCTATCATCCCAATCAAGACTTCGACGACCCTGGCCCCAGCCAAACTCGAGACGAGCATGGCATCACTCTAGAATACGACGAGCTCCCAGACGAACCCACAGATGACCCGTTTGACGCGCCCAACCCATCTGGCTCTTTTAGAGAGGCACTGGGAAGAAGTGTTGCAGCCACAGAAATCCGATTAAGGAAGCTGAATCATTATTTGGTAGTGTTGCCTCGCAATTGGACAGTCATTGGGCCTCACCTAGTCACAACTCACACCGGGGGACTATTCTCATCACCTGTCAGTGGTGTCCCCTACGGACCTCCAGCTCTCACTGTAGATCCTGCAGAGCCGAGATTGAATCACAAAGTCCTCATTTCGACGAGGATACCCAATGGCATTCGCGGTCTGTATCGTCTTCATCTCTCAACACATTCCCCTATCACCATTATCATGAAGCTAACCACGATCAGATCAGATGGTAGGGTCGAAGCCCTACTCCTCACTATCACTTGATCATAGAGGAGAAGTTATCCGACGAGTTTCCGGAGCGTACCCAGCACTCGTTGTGGTGATGATGGACTGGATCAAGATGGCCTTGAATGTTATAAAGAAGGGGGATATAGATGAATATGCGCACCTCATGTGGTTCCGGTATCTAGGCCTCGCCTGGCTGGGGCTACAGGTCTTTTGAGGCTTTTCCCATGCACGCAGTTTCCAATGCTACCATTTTTATATTTTTGGGTAGAAGGTTCAGTGGAAAAGGTGGCCGAATTCCACGAGTAAACACTGAGCTAAATGGCTATTCATCAAGGGCAATATATCAATGATCTTACAAGTAACAGTCGAGGCCGACTTGATCCAATCCACCATCTCCGTATCGAGTCCTGGGTACGCTCCGGAAACTCGTCGGATAAATTATCGTCCATAATTAAGTGTTGGTGATGAGTAGGGCTTCGACCCTACCATCTAATCTCATCGTGGTTAGCTTCATGATAATGGTGATAGGGGAATGTGTTGAGAGATGAAGACGATACAGAACGCGAATGCCATTGGGAATCTTCGTCGAAATGAGGACTTTGTGATTCAATCTCGGCTCTGCAGACTCTACAGTGAGAGCTGGAGGTCCGTAGGGGACACCACTGACAGGTGATGAGAATAGTCCCCCGGCGGGGGCGTATATTTAGTAGACAACTGTGATGACAGAATAGTCGATGAGAGGTATGTTCAAAGGAATTAGAATGTACTAGGTCGGACTTGTAGACTTGATTAGGCTTATGTTGGATTCAAACCCTTTGGCAGTGAAAATATGAAATTGTGGAATATTTTGGATCATTGCCTCGTGGGCAGACTTCATTGTTATTGCGATAACCGAGTAAACTTGACTCTAGGTGAATATTTCATTCTCAGGTTCGTAGAGGACACATCGTATAGGTGTTGAAATATTAACTGCCTGAACAAGTACAGGCTTCTCTACTGACTAACAGAGTATCGTTGTGGAAATGTAGCGCTTTTTTTACATAATCATCACAATAAACGAGAGCCTATGACTAGGTAGATCTCGTTGTAGGCTACCTGTATTTTGCCAAGGAAAAAGACGCTTGATTTGCTAATATTTCGGTCCCCCAAAGAGTTCAAAGGTAAATAGATATCTAACTGATTTGCATTTACAATATCTAAAGAATTCCAAAGGAAAAGACTATCGGCGCCTCTTGGCATTGTAACTAAGAACAGGTATTTGACGCAGTGCGCGAATTTGGGTTGGTCTTAGTACTGCAAAATCAACGTTGTCAAAATGGTTAGTGCTCTTTATAGGTATCAAAACCTGCGAATTCACACGCAACATTCAGGCAGATAAATTACGTGCGCAACAACAACTAGAGGCGTTACAGGCTAGATATGTTGGTACAGGCCATGCAGACACCACAAAATTTGAGTGGACATCAAATATTCAACGCGATAGCCGTGCTAGTTACATTGGACATCCACCGATGTTGAGTTACATGGCAATTGGCCTTGGAGAGTGTCGCGAAAAAGTTAGAGCTCAGATAGTTGAGGTGAATAGAATTCCTCACCCTTGGAGAATCGGCTAACTTTTCAGAAAATGATACAGCCTGTGGGAAAGCCACCTGAGGTACAGGATTAACTCTAGAATAATTGAGTGGAATTCCTACTGCGTTAGCATTGTGTTATTCCACCAGCACGTTTTGATGATCTGTTCAAAGGTAACTTTCACCATGAATGAGACAAGTTTACTCCTAAAGTCCCATTTAACAGGGCCAGGGTTAGAATTGCTCCATTTCTTCGAATCCCTAATTTCGTAGTTTTATTATTAATAACACCACATCGTTGGTAAATTGATCGAGAAGTTGTCTTCATCTTTGCCATGATAGTCACACAGAATTTGTATTCATGGTTTCCATTTTTTACGCATCGTTTACTGGGCCAGGTAAGGTTTCTGAGTCTACTGCAGAACTTAATGCAAGGCTCCTTTGTAATCTCTTTTCAACTTGATCCGAAATTCTATCACCGTAAATTTCGTGGATAAACTTTGCAATAGCTTCAGAGTTAATTTCAACAAGTCCACGAGGACCTACCCTCCATTCGGAGGTATGTAGCTCGTCATCGTGCACTTTATACTCGTGAAGGTAGTTATCCTTTTTCATTCTTGCAAGCACATCAGATGTTGTACCAATCCCACAATTTTTGTCAAGGTTAAGACGTTTGAGATACTTTTCGAGTTGATGAGATGATATCTGACCATCTGCACTAAGACGAATAAGACAAATAATGACTGTATAAATTCCCATGTATGCAGCCTCATCAGATTGGCTGTGAGCAATTGGTGGAGAAATAATCTCCGGCTTCCTGTATTCAGGAGGGAGTGTACTTTTGAGTATATATGTTGATGACGACTTTGAAGCCGCTCTCTGCTTCTGAGCAGCTAGGATCTGTTTAGTACTCCATCCTTCTTTACCAAAAATACGCACCCTTCTTTTCTTTCAAAGTGATCTTCACTCTAGAGGGTAGCTCCACCATTTCTAATCCAAACTCATCCCGTAATCGTTTTTGGGCTGTTTCGAAAACCAACTTGAAATTGCAACGCTGTTTACCAATAACTGAACAGTTAGCATTACATCTACATAAGTTATAGACAAACCTTTCTCTACAATTCCTGCCCGTTTGATGGTCAATCGCTGATACTCGCACGCCAAGGCGTATCGGACAAGTCTTTTTACATTTTGGTTGAGTTCTTCAGTTTCTAATTTCGAGGAATTTCTAAGTAGATCATCTCCTTGTGACTCATTCGCGCTCTCAGCATCATCATCTGAGCTAGAATTTTGTCTGGGCTGCTGAGTGCTCTGGGATTGAATTTCCCTCAAGCGAGAATTCTTCTGTACACAAGAGTTAGACTCCAAACTTCCAGTAAGCTACATGTATAGGTAGGTCTAACAGCTGATTTTCTACTTGCAGGTGGCATTGAGTTTTGGGTCTATCGGTATCACTCACGGTAGGTGAGAGTGCACGCGACGTGTTGTCGCGCGTCAACCACATTGTTCCTCGCCAAAATTTGCCAAGCGAACCCAGATGAATCTTTATATTGACTAACAAGTGCATCTGTACGACACTCACGATCGCATATATGATTACTAGAAGAGGCGCAAGGCCCCATATATGCTTAAGATGTCAGCAGACTCAGGTCAATCGGCCGCTACCTGCCCAACCCGAAAATTTATACAAATTAAGCAACACCTTGAGGTACCAGAAGTACACCACATCAAGATCAAACCCCGTAGCGTCTAGAGCCTTCACACCAAAGCTGGAGCAAACCCTTCAGACATCAAGTAAAACAGAAGCCAGGCAAGATGACCGTACTCAATCGGGAAAACGCAGGCTCAAAGTGATGAAAAATGTCGAGCGACTCGATGAAGGTGAAGGCAAATCTTCGAAGATAATCATTATTCAAGATTCCGTGCTTTCAACTTACTCTCAAACGCTAAAGCATGTTGCTCCAGAGGATACTGTACCCATTGATATCATGGGCCAACTTGGTGAAGAGGTGGGGTCGGCGCAGACTGGCGAAGTATATGAAAACATCGACAGCTTGAGGCCTAAAACTAGGCAACTAGGTAGTTGGGAAGAACTAAATGAAGTTGTTGATCAGTTATCAACAGGTTTTACGTCAGCACAATTGGAGCAATATATGAGTTACTATCGAGCCAAATATGGTCTAAAACAACCTTCTACATACATTGAAAGAGATAATGAGGCGCCAATCGTCTCTAAGACATCCTGGCGACCTGGGATATCTGATATCAAAACATACTTCGATAATAGTTCAACTAGGGGTTACTTGATGAGTTCACGAACAGCAAAACAACGCTACGCCATTCGTCTTCTACGCGAATGCTGGGAGATAGAATTACCAGATTTAGTGGATGGTGTGGGCCAGTTCGAGCTACAAGTGCGGAAAGATGTTCTTGAGATTCTGCTCTGTAAGTGTAAGCTTAAGATAATAAGTAACACTTCTCATAATTGAATAGCAGGACACAACTCGCCCCTTCAAATCTTTCACGATGAATTTCTGATTATTGAAAAGGAAACTCTAGAAATATTTCGATCAAGGAATGTCATTCGTTTTACAACGACGGAAGCCAGAATGCCGTGGATAATACAAGAGGTTGAAAAATTAATTAAGCGCATACAAGTGCGAAAGATTCTTCTTGGCGACCTAATGCCTATACGAGATATTCGGCAGAGGACGGCTGCCATGCTTGATAGATGGACAGAAAAGACATTTAGTGATAGTACTCTTTCAGAACTCAGACGAATGACTGGAGTCGTCATTACCAGAGAAGCACATGGTAAAGTAAGTGTTATTAGCCCCCAAAACAATTCAAAGTTGAGATTACCTAGATACTTCTGGCATCGGTGATGAAGCAGTCTGATGTACGGGAGATCCCCAATGATTCCGCCCGCCGTCTCCTCCTTTCATCAAGACCATCAATCTCGTCAGTTGAATTTGCGCTAGCATCGGCAAATACCTCACTCGCTGTACCAGTCACATACTGCCAGATTGAGGGGTTAAACTGGTGGTCTAGAGTAAAATCCTGGTATAGATGGGTAAATCCTATCGTAAAAGAATCCGGAAAGTTCATCCTGAAACAACCGGATGAGATATACAACATTCAATATCTTCAGGCAATTGATAATAGCAAGGATCAAAAAATAAAACTTAGTGCGCCACTGATTATTAGTCCGCCCACAGAAGAAAACCGCGGAACAATTTGGCGGACAGACTATTCAACTAGCACTTTTGCCACAATTGGGGCGGTCATCCACACAAAGCTAGGATCCCAGAACCCACCTGGTCCAGTCTCGAACCTAAGCGATCCAGATTTGGTTACTGATTTTTCTTCGCATGTGCCAAATGTGACAAGGCTTATCAAGTCTGCTAAACTGGAAAAGAATAATGCTAAGCAAGAAGAAATAGTTCTTCGATTTGTACCTAATCCATTCTTCAAACTGAAGCAAAAGTCCGGTAAGAGAAAGTCAATAAGCGCTGCAGTTCTTTCCGCATTACCTTCGGTCGAAATAATATTTAAGATTGAGCAAAAGAAAGCAATATATTCCCATGTAAGAGCTATAGTTCGTGAGACCTGCACAGACGTCATGCTTCCTCAGGAAATAGTTGATATACGCTTTCGTCAGCGAATAACTAGTTGTCTTGTCAAAAAAAATATTAAATCCATACGAAATTTCGTAGCAAATTGTCAGCTTAATCTTGAACCTGGAGCAAACCATAAAATTCCACCATCTATCGTGCTACCTATATCAACACATCTCTGTCGGGATATAGGACTCGAATTATTCAAAACTTCGAAATCAAAAAGTACGACAGGAACAAGTAGCTCAGATTTCACCAGCCAGAGTGTTGAATACCTATTTGCTGGGCTTCAGTTTCGTAAGAAGTTAGTCTTCAATTATGATTCGTGGCGCCTTGAGTATAGTTATATTGATGCAGGGAAGTCAGGGGGTAAACGAGGAGAGTTGTCTCTGCGACCTATCAAGGAAAGCAAAGGCGTTAGTGAACAAGACTTTCTTAACTTTGGACTCGAGCTCGCCTGTCGCTTTACTAGTCTTAGTACTCCCGATATGACGCGATTCCAAAACATAAGGAAAATAGAGAACATACCAATTCGAAGGTACGTGCCTTTAAGCCAACCAACTACAGAATATCCAAGGATGTTTATGTACACACCAAGAAGGATTCTCAAGGATTCAAAACTAGATAACAATAATGAGATAGCTATGAAAGGGTCTAGCGAAGATATTCTTCCCGACTTCGAAGATGAAGTAAGGGCATTCGAAGACGAGATCGACATATATGAGAACGGTGAATCTGATGAAAACCTTGACGAGATGGAAAAAATCTACTATGATAACAATGCTTCTGATCCGGATCATGATGATGATGATATCAGTAGTGACTGTATAAAATCCACGAAAACGTCTCATGATGAGCTCGACGTACACCGATAAATAACTCTAAATAATATACTCGTATTAAAATAATTTCTAAGTATCAGTGTATGATTGATATAATACCATAATGGCTGTTATCGTTCAAATTAGTTTGTGTCACATGAAAGAAGCCTATGAGCTGCCTCCATCGACGAATTAATTCATGAACTTTATAATTCAGTCAAAGGTCTAATGCTCAAATTTAAACGGGAGCCTAAAAGTCTACGGTTTTCATATTTTCTCTCTAAATTTTGAGGTCACCAGCTCGATTTCCACTAGAATAAAACATGATGTAAACCTCCCTCTTCATATTTTATTTATAATTATAATAGAATTCATTCCGTAGATTTTCTGACTAGACCTTTTCTTGAACTAGTAGAAATTACTCAAGTGGAATCTACTCAAATACATACTCTGTTGGCTTTCCTCACCAAGCAGAACGGGTTACAATTGCCACATAGTCTAAACATCTCAGACCTCTGTAGCCGGAAGGCAAAATTTCCGGTGAAAGTATACGCATAGGCTGGTTTTTCATGAATATTAGAAACACCTGTTTGGGCTACAGTTGAAAGTAAGGTATTTAATGATTTGTTCTTATAAATCGATAAAATAAACCAGATACATAAAATTAGTAGAAATAATTGGGAATCTCATCTGTCATACGCTTGCTCTTAATTGTGACTTGTGCGCTGATTAAAGGAAATTCCCTTGGTTATCCGTGAATTCTTCAACCTTTCCAGGTCCTTTCAGTAAACCACAAGCCATCAATATTTCGCACAGACTATATCGTTACCCGTAATAATAGCCGGAAAGTTTTTCAATTTGAACTAATTAAACTAAGCATGATTTCGATGTCCCATTACCATTTCAGATTCACGGATTTCCGGAACTCCGCACTAGTCCTATCCTGCAGCTGAGAGTAGAGGGTAATTAATGCCAGCGGCGAATACGGGAGGTCCACATGTGTCAGTGGCGGGACCATTGACCTTTCGCACGGATTGCCCAACGCATATCCTCGCTCGGATTGAGTCAAGCGAATGGGCAATCAATTTACCCCATGTTAATCCCTCATTTACAACGCTATTCCAAAGTAGTATTAGCGCGAACTCGAAATTTTGCGAGTACATCAACTCCGCACAAACCGCAATTTCGTCTTTTTCTCCTTGTCACCACATACCTTGATTCAAGCAATCAATATCTGTGTAGTAAGCAAATTTCACTGAAGTTTCAAGTACTTCTCATAGTAACATCCTCGAATCAGGTTCAATCTCCATCTTCGGATAAATCAAATCACAAACTTTACCAATCTTCAAACATTTCAAAATGGGTATGTTCTCAATAATTAAACAAATCAATGTTTTAAAAAAAAATATTTGCAAGATCAACTAACACAAATTTAGGTAAGGAGAAAACTCACATCAATGTGGTCGTCATCGGACATGTCGACAGTGGAAAATCAACCACAACAGGTAATAGGGACGAACATTTGATATGTACCTTGTTAATATTCTGAAGGTCATCTGATCTACAAATGTGGTGGTATTGACAAGCGAACCATCGAGAAATTTGAGAAGGTAAATTACAATAAATACCTCCTAATTATCCCTCTTTTCGTCTTTTTTTTTCAATCCGTTCCTCTGAAGCTAATAAACTGCCACAGGAAGCAGCAGAACTCGGAAAAGGATCTTTCAAATACGCCTGGGTCCTCGACAAGCTAAAGGCCGAACGTGAACGTGGTATTACTATTGACATTGCTCTATGGAAGTTTGAGACTCCTAGATACTACGTCACCGTCATTGGTAAGAAATGATGTCAAATTTTTTTACTACACTGCTAACCCGATTTCAGACGCTCCTGGACACAGAGATTTTATCAAGAACATGATTACTGGAACCTCTCAAGCTGACTGTGCCATTCTCATCATCGCGGCCGGTACCGGTGAGTTTGAGGCAGGTATTTCAAAGGATGGTCAAACCAGAGAACATGCATTGCTTGCGTTCACATTAGGTGTCAAACAATTGATTGTTGCCATTAACAAGATGGACACGGCCAAATGGGCTGAAGCGAGATACCTTGAAATCATCAAGGAGACGACCAACTTTATAAAGAAAGTCGGATTTAACCCCAAGGTTGTTCCATTTGTGCCAATTTCTGGCTTCAACGGAGACAATATGATTGATAATTCCGCAAACTGCCCCTGGTACAAAGGCTGGGAAAAAGAAAACAAGACTGGAAAGGTTACCGGAAAAACTCTCCTCGAAGCCATAGACAACATTGACCCACCGAGTCGCCCTACCGATAAACCCCTCCGCCTACCACTACAAGATGTTTACAAAATTGGTGGCATTGGCACGGTTCCTGTTGGACGTGTCGAGACCGGAATCATCAAGGTCAGTAATTCGAAGTAAAAAAAATCTAACTAATCAATTAAGGCCGGAATGGTTGTTACTTTTGCCCCAGCTGGTGTAACTACAGAAGTAAAATCTGTAGAAATGCATCACGAACAACTAGTCCAGGGTATGCCAGGAGACAACGTCGGATTCAACGTCAAGAACGTCTCGGTCAAGGAAATTCGCCGCGGTAACGTCGCTGGAGACTCTAAGAACGACCCTCCAAAGGGTGCGGGAAGCTTTAATGCTCAAGTCATTGTTCTCAACCACCCTGGTCAGATTGGATCTGGATACGCCCCAGTCCTCGACTGTCACACTGCACACATCGCATGTCAATTCTCCGAGATCTTGGAGAAGATTGACCGAAGAACAGGAAAGTCTGTCGAAAGTGCTCCTAAATTCATCAAGGTATAGCTACCAGACGCACTTACCTGAACCTTCTGACAAAAACAGTCTGGTGATTCTGCAATCGTAAAGATGACTCCATCGAAGCCCATGTGTGTTGAGGCGTACACCGACTACCCTCCCCTTGGACGATTTGCTGTTCGAGGTAAGTCATAAGCCACTTAATCCAAAAAAAAATCTAACTTGAGATCACAGACATGAGACAAACTGTATGTACTATCTATTTCGGGTTAACCTTTAGTAAACTAGAAAAAATTTTCACAAATACCTTCTATGGCTTAGCAATTTGCTCAGTATCTACGAGATTGTACTAACATAAACAGGTTGCTGTAGGTGTCATCAAGAGCGTGGAGAAGGTTGACAAAGCAACCAAGGTAACCAAGGCCGCCGTAAAAGCTGGTGGTAAGCAACTCAAGTGATTAAAATGCTTAAACTGACTTTTTCCAGCCAAGAAGTAGGTTAATGACGGTGGCGGTTGATGAAATCATTTCTCTTTTATTCGGGGAGTTGGAATTCATATTGATTGAACCAGGCTAGGAAATTTTGGCTTAAATATAGACACTATTTCCTACAAATGCTCCAAGTGAAAGGCTGATGTGTCGTCCACAGAGTGAACTTCCCATCCCTACAAGCCCATTCAGTTACCCTAAGACTAGTGACGTAGAACAATTCTGCAAAATGAACGTTAATGCATATTATTTCAGTATACAACATCTCACTACACTCTGTGATATATCCAACACGAAATGATCTGTTAGGCTGAATCCGAAATTTTATTAACGTCAAAATGACATGGTCAAATTAATATCACATCGCATTCACGCACAACAGGGGATTTGTGACATGTTTTGCTTGTCGTTTGCTGCGTTATTGACCACCGTAGGGACATGCAGGGCCTACTGGTTACACACCGGGAGCATTGTTCCTCCATTTCCCTGCAATAGTAACTCCAAGTTTCTCCAGTTTTATACATTAAGAGGAGCCGTTATCCCGTCCTGACTTATCGTCTCCGGCTAACGAAAAGATGTCCATTTGTGGGAGTATGTTAGCCGGGAATGATTGCAAATACCACTTGATGCAATGCTCTTCTGTTAACGACACCTAAATTAAATTCGAAATCTTTTGCCCATCCAAAACGGTAGGAAAGACAGCTATCATGGCTTTTTAGACTTTTGCATGCCTAGAATAGTCACACTTAACCGTTCCAGCCTCCTTTCGGCCTTTCTTAAATGTCATGTCGAAATTCCAGAAAAGTCTCGATTAGTATGTTTGGTGTTTATTAGCTCAGTCCAACCTCTTCGCACCATCGCCGCTACCAGGGTGTGCTGTAGACTTATCGAAAATAAAAGTCCACCCGTATCATGGCCTAAAAGCGTAGTCTTGGCATCTACAAATACCTCAGTGCGGTAAAAACCTCCGTAGTTTCAGTCCTAGCATAAGCGTCAATAACCTCTTCCTTCTCCCATTTTATGTCCCAGTCTCCCGACCACCCTCAATTTTTAATGCCTCACCAAGGCAACTATCCTGCATTGGCCATACACAAAGCTTTATGTCTCGCGACTTGTTTCCCTCATTACTGATGCACGTACCATCATGATTTCGTAGTTGGATATGGTTGGTGACTGAGGCAAGCGTCCGTTTGCCGTGGGGAAACTCCCTAGATTAGATTAGATTTATATTTATATTATAGTCCTAACTGAGTCAATGACTGTAGAGGACTCCTAGAATCTTTATATAAGATACTAGCTACATTATTTCCTTTCCAATTTTACAATTTTTAACTATTTTCTCATGGACAGTGAGGGTCAAGCCCTATGATGGGGAAACTCCCTAATCAGTCCCTGAGCCGGAGAGATATGTGACGATTATCGCACCGTAAATGGTGTGTGGTCATTGATTCTAGATGCGCTTATATTTGCTCTCTACTTGTAAACGGTTGCATTTCCTCATAAATATCCTAGAAATGCAAGCATTCATACCGGCACCACAACAAGGTTGATGATTCATCTTTGTTAGCAATTGGCTAGTAATCGCAAAGGCTTAGGTGCAAGGAAAGCTATTGTCTAAACTTGGAGCGGCAAAGGAAGATGCAGAGAACGGGGTGAGTATATAGAATGGAAAGTGGTGCATTGGGGTCATCGAGCCGATTTACATAATTTGCATACAGAAGTCAGTTTCCTATAGGATGTTATCTCTATCCCTAGAAGGGTGAATATGAGGAAAAATGGGTGTATATTTAGTTAATTTAAATAGTAAATTTATATGCTGAAGTCAGTGAATGGGCATATGTATGATATCAGTAAATAAAAATTTGAGACATTCATATTTCTTGGCATGCGCATAGCTATTCTATTAGTGAGATGGAGAGGACAAATGACCTGAGCGTCATTTAAATCTTATTACACTTGCATTGGGATATGAAAATATGCTACTAAATTCAAGCTTTCATTGCTACGCCTCTGCATATTAACTTTTTCATCTACCTCATTCTTACGTCAAAGAATGAATTGTAGGCTATTCCCCTGACTGCTAGATTCGATGAAATATTAGTATATTAACAGAAACACTTTCATAATTTTGGGTGGCGCATAACAAGCTTAGCGGGTTAATTGACTTTAGCTTTGCTGAGACTACATCGCTTTGTGGCTCTAATTTAACTTTCTCTCTTTTGTTGGTGAACACTAGAATATCACCTTTTCAAAATGAAAGTATCCGGTAGAAATTTTGTAACTAAACTTTAGGCTTGTACCCATTCTCAAGCCTAAAATATCATTAGAAAACACATGAGAAAATTGATGTATCATGATGAGCGTTCTGTCCGTCACTTTCCGAAAAGTCCTTCTCTAAGGTCCAGCGACGATCAAATTGTTTCTCATCTCAGGATAGATAAATTATTAGTCTTCCTTAGTAGGATTAGAATTTGGTTCGAACAAATCTCATTTAACCGACCGAATTTGTTATCCTTAGATTTCAGATTTATATTCGATATGCTTTTGAAATTTGACGGCCAGAGCTTGTATTTTTCATTCTCCGAAATAGGGGTTTCCATCGATGGATCTCGTTAAGCTGTAATAAACAAGTCTAGATTTAATGACGATTAAAGATTAGCTTGGGAGAGAATTTTCATATCTCGAGCGAATGTAATAGTCTCTAATTTGGTACTTTCTTGTGGATGGTTGAAAAGATGATGCCGTTGCGCATGCCAATCCTAGACAATTAGCTGTGTCCTTTGCTTTTCGACAAGTACCCACAAAATTTTGATAATAACACTCAGTAGAACAATAGTAAAAGAGGCCCTCCTTGCTTTCGAGACAAGGTAAACATACTCCAGCTCCAAAGAGGTTACCGGGGGGCCCGATCTTGGGGAAAAACAAGCACCTATCGCCTGCAGAGCATTGGTGTTGTAGGCGATCATGATCATCCTGTGTTAATATTAGCTTCGAGTTTTCAAGTATTAGAGTTATTGACAAAATCTTCTGTGGCATGTTTAGCAGAGCAATAGTAGAACCTGGTTCTGCTACGCCCCTTACTAACAAGCCACTCACAAACTGCACACTCTGGGTTCTCTTCGCTTAGATCAAGTCTTTTCCCACAGCGTTTAAAACTACAATTTGCATGCCGAAACGGCAAGGTACGTTCAAGCAACCGCTGAACCTTTTCAGCTTTTCTCGCTTTATTTTTAAGATGTGCGCTCTGAGCTAGCTGTAATTCGTTTAGCTCTCTACGAAGAGCTGTGACTTTATCTTGATAAAGGGTTTGAGCTTCTTTTCGTAAGGCCTCAAGAACCTCTTCATGTGAGCCGCAGCTTTCGAACGAGCGGGCATATTTTGATTTAAAGTTCTTTTGCTGATGTGTATCGTTTTCTGATGGTGTGCAATAGAACTGTGTGTATAGCAATGCTCGTTCTACTCTAGTCCTAGCCTCCTGAAGACCTAAAACCAACTGTTTTACGTTTAGGCTGCTGTAGGAGTGCTGTCTCTCGATGCTAATATTTCTACCACACTGGTTCGTTAACGAACCGATAGTAAGGTCTCCATTAGCTGTCATACTTGAGTTTCGAAGCCCATTATTGTCCGAATTCGTATCGTTTAGAGCTTTGTCTAAATATTTACGTAGCATAGATTGAGAGATTGAATTAAGATCCTCCAAGTCGTCTAGGGTGGGATTTTGAATCTGTTGAAATCGTCCCTGTATCGCAGACTTGTATTCCGGTATTTCTTCGTACCATGCATTTGGATCATTGCTGAGAAAGTAATTGTAATAAGCTTCGAGTATTTTTTGATTTTCAAGAAAACAGGTGTGACATCCGGAAGGACCTGGTTGATGTTCGCTATTTGGGGGAGATGAGTCAAGAACACGTTCTATCAAGTTCTTCAAATTCTGTCTTCTTGACTTAGGTGTATCTACAACGAGCTTCTCATCGTGCGTTTGAGCTGTCGTCAAATTAGAATCGGAGATTGCGGTGGATTTGGAACAAGTAGGTTGGGCCTCGTTGCCTACGCTCATATTATTGTGCTTGATAATTGTTGAAATCACTAGACGCAAAAAATTTGATGTGCCACCTTGATCGAGGGATTAGAATTTGGGTGACCATGAATATACAGTGAGCTATCATATTAATGGAGGGTGAATGGCGTCTGCAGGGACCTGCTCACGTGACTAGATTTCGAAATTTCGGATACGTTTTGCTTCATTCACGCTTATATCGGAGGACAGGGACGACGTATCTGACCGCGGTGTCCTCGGTGAACCTCAGAGTAGCATATTGTATCTTGGAAAATTTGAGCCAAATTTCGCAACATTGAAGTAGTTGGTTCACCAGACAAATATCAGATACTTCAGGCCACATCAATCGCTTACTCCCTGTCGCGGGATATACCCGTGAGATTGGTTCGGGCTGTGGCAAAAATGAGTCAGCCAACATATCTTACACGAGGCTTGTCATCAAAAGGGTGGCATTGATGAGGCTGGTTACCGCGTGGCTGCTTTTTTTGCATCAAAATTCAATGGCGTATCCAGCTAGCTAGCTGTGGCACGATACCAAGAAAGGTACAGAAAAGGTGATTTAATTTAAAATAGCACTCATGCCTCGGATTTCATTTGCGAGTACCACGACGAAGTTATGGTGGCTTTTTCCTCACCCCAAGTCAACCCTCATCCATGAATACCCACCCAATGAAACGTCTCAAAAAATCCCGAGTTATCCAGACATGCCTCCATCATCCACCGAATTTTCTCCGCGCGAAATGTGATCTGAAATGTCTCCTTCCCATATGAAGTAGGTGCCCAGGCTACTCAGACTATACCCGAGAACACCGCCAAGAGGCGGACCACAACACCTTCCATCATCGGCTTGTGTTTATAGTGTCAGCATTCTCGCAAGTACAGTCTTGGCGCGCACAAAGCTCAAGTTGCAAAACTCCTTGCCAAAATTCCAAATTTCACGCCTATCGAGATTGTTTGTGTCCTCTGCATCATCTCGTGAACTTGACCTGATCCCTCTCACCTTCCTCCTAGAGAACTGTCTCCCAAATTTGTGCCCAGCGCTTTGCTTCCTCCGTCGGGTGTAAATATTGGCGTGGGTGTATATTTAGTGACTAGCTGAGGCCAGAGAAATCCGAGACGAGGTGTAGTCATTGGAATAAGGATGTACTTGGTGGTACTTGTAAACTTCATGAGACCTAGGTAGGAGTCGATCTCGTTGGGAGTGAAAATCTGACATGGTGAAGTATTTTGAATCGTTGCCTCGTGGGCCAACCTCTTTGGTATTGCGAAATTTGACTGTGCTTGGCTCTAGGCTCATAAATAGTAACGTTATGACAAATGGTAACGCATTAAGTCGATATGATCAATTGGGTCAGAAGAAAGGCGGAACTGTATTTGTGGTAATTACAAAAAGATACCCTGTTTTCTTATAGAGAAGACTACTCCGCACTTTTATTTCATTTTATTGTCCTGTATGAGTCTATGAATATGTAGGACATGCAGGTCCCCTCTGTCTATAGGCCAAGAATACCTATGCCAGTAATACGTCCCCTCCTATGCCTCCCATACAGCTCCCCTCAAACAGTACCACCCCTCACAAGTCCTCATTCGATCATACACTAAGAGGAGCCCTTTGCCCTTCATTATCTCCCCTCTCCAGCCAACTAAACGATGGCCATTTGTGGGTGTATGGCAGCCGGGAAAAATCGCAAAAACCACTGGGTGCGGAGCTCTCCTAATACCGACATTAGGACTAGATCCGAAGACATAGTGACCCTTCTGAAGCGTTCGAAGAGGGCGGCCAGCTGGGCGCTACAGACTTGTGGGTACCTCGGAGAATTCACCCTCTGCCTTTCTAGCCTCCTTCCAACTCCTTCCCGAAGGTCGTGCTGAAATGTCAGAAAAGTTTTGACAGTGCGTGATTTATGTATGGTTACTTAGCCAAACTTCTTTTGTGCCGTCCAGGGCGCTGGGGAGTGCCGTTGACTCATCGACAGAAGAAGCCCCCCTGGCTAATGTCAGTTCCAACACGGTCTCCAGAGAGCTCTTTCCCCTCTCGCTCCACATCCCAGCAGCCTGTCCTTCCTCAAGATGTATAACCCTATTAGAGCAGCAGTCCCCCATAAGCCAAGACCCCAACTTTGTATGTTATGACTTAATTTCCTCCTTGTGGGTATACGTAGCGTCGTAAATATGTAGTGAGTGATGGCCGGTGATGAATGAGGCAAGCTCCTGTTTGCAATTGGGGTGACGCCTTTATCGGTCGGCGAGGCAAGATGATATGTGGTTAGATCGGGGTTGAGGACTCAGAAGATAATGGTGACTGCTGCATGATTGAGAAGTCGTTAAATGGAGATATGCATGTGTTTGCTTTCGACTTCGATTCGGATGTGATTCTTCTTGGCTATCCCAGATATGCAGAGCATACTGAGCGATTACACCGGCACCACTGAAGATGAAGAATTCGTCTTTGCCGGCCTACTCCGCACTACATATATTAAGGTTACATCATGCGCTTAGTTTACCCATAACTATTTGCCTCGAACATGTTGATGCCTAACGCACGCTTTGTGTAGTGGATAACACCAACATAACTTTATTCAAGTTAATTACATCCCAGTTCCGTAGAAGTGTGTGTACAGATGTTCAGTCTTGCCCTCCAAATAGTCGACTCCTCCGTGAATACTCACCAGAGGGAAGCTCCAAGACTTATGATTATCCGAGCATACCTTCGTCATCCATGTACATTAGTGCCGTCGGGGACTATTCTCAACACCTGCCAGTTGTGTCCCCTACAAACCTCTAGCTCTCACTGAAGAGTCTGCAGAGCCAAGATTGAGTTATGAGGTCCTAACTTCGACGAGGACTCCCAATCGCTTTCGCTGTCTGTATCGTCTTCATCTCTCAACACATTCCCCTATCACCATAATCATAATAGGTTATGAGCCCGGCTCTTCCAAGCGCAAACAATACGTCAACCAGTCCAAAGTTCGAATCAAAATCGTTGTCAATTATATTTGACAAATTCAGAGGTATAACGCTCAACAACGGTGTGCCATTCAAATTATGGAGATCGTCAATCCTTGCCAAGCTCGCAAAATGAGATCTAGTCGGTCACGTTTTTCAAGACGAAAAAGGATTCCGTCCTGAAGTAGAACCTGAATTTCCAATAGCTGGAAAAAGTGAAAGCTGTGATGACTACGCCATACGAATGACAAAGTACGAGAAAAGGTTGCGGAACTGGGCCCGAGGTGAAATCCAGGTCAATCAGACAATAATCGACCGACTCGACCCCAGCATTAGTCCAACTTAACAGCGCAACCTGACGGTAAAGCAATTGTTTTACGAAATCGCGGAAGCAAGAATTCCATCAACCACCCTACCCTACCTCCATGCATATGAATTATTCTCACTCACAACTCTGATAACCACCGCTGACGAATACTGCAGTCAATTCAAAAAAAACCTGCAGGAAGTCAACATCGCAGCAGATGTAGTAATATCTCGACCTGATCTAGACTGTAATAACATTATAAATGATTACAAGATAACACCGGGACAGGCATCAGGTTATTTAATCAGAGGGACAAAAGGAGTTGAATGGCTTAAAATCTGGAGACAAATCAGAACCTCGGGCCAGAATGGAAGGTTACAACCCTTGGGATCTCTCATGTCTCCACCGAGGGAAGCAGAGAGCAGCTCACAACGCTCAAGCTGAAATGTAGTCGCCTCAATCCTTCAAATAGCGTACCCAGATTCAAGATACAGGATGTGCAGGCACAAACATACCAACAAGGAATGCTTCAAGCAACATCCGGAGTTTTCATCTGGGAATCGATGGGAAGAGAAAAGCACACCGAAGGGAAAACTATACCATTGGAAGGGAAAAGGAAAAGTGGTACTCGAGAGTCAAGATACAGACTCAAAGAGTGACGATGAACGAGAAGGAGGAGTTTTAACAGGGTTAGTAGCTTCTTGTCAAGAATATATTTAGCATTACATTTATGATACTGGTGCATCGCACCATTTTATCTTTGTGAAAAATTAATTCATCAGCCTGCAAATACGCCCTAGCCCATTTAAATTCGACCAAGCAGTAGGTGCCAAATCTTTTAACAAGTAAGGCACCGCACATATCGAAATTGGTGACTTATACTTAAATCTGCGTGAATGTCTCTACTCACCAAGTTCAAACTCGGATATTATCTTAGCTTGGAGATTAATGGGAATTGCGAGTATCTTCTCAGACTTTCAAAATGAAGTATTATTTAGATGTCGACAAGGCAGTGCAAAATTACCTGTTGCAAAACTTAATCTTAAAAATGATATTTATTACATAAAACCACTAAAAAATAATAAATTCGACAAGAGGATTGTAGTAGCACCAGGAATAGCCCAAGTACCTCACACAGTTAACGCTTAGCGCTGGCATCAACGGTTAGGTCATATCGGGCAACTTATATTCAAAAAGACTGCTAGCATTTCAAAGGGACTCGAGGGGGTTGACACATTTGAGCTCGCCATATGTGAAGCATGTCACTTAAGTAAGACATAAATACAAGTTTCTTGCGAGCCGCGACCTACTCCAAATGAGCCCCTAGATGAAAATTTTGTGGACACTGTGGGAAAAATAACGCAATCAACAAACGACCATTAGATTTCCTACCACGGGGCAAGTGTAGAAGCATGGATACACTTAGGAGATTATATACATAGTCACTTAACCAGCACACTAGCTATATTATCCCGTCACAACCACATTTCTCGCGGCGCTGGTATGTATGGATGACGAAGGCATGCTTGGATAATCAAAGGGTTTTGAATTCCCTATGGTGGGTACTTACGGAGGAGAGTCGACTGCTTGTGTAAGCGAATATACCTCATAGTGGTATTTTTAAATGAAATCCAGAGTATGAGTGTCTCTAACGTCAAAAGAGTCATCTTTCATGTATACATAGCACCGATCATGTGTCATAGCTCTATAGCTGTATACACTTAAATGATTTAAAAAAATATATATATATATATATATTATCTTGTGGCCTAAGGCCGTAAGTGATGCCCTAATCTGAACTACTCTATTATCGCACATCATAACACATGAAGCTAACCAAGATCAGGTCAGATGGAGGAAGAAGGCTAAACACCTGTCAGTGGTGTCCTCTACGAACCTGAGAGTGAAGTATTCTCCCAGAGCCAAGATTCAGTCACGAAAAAGGGTGAATTTGAGAGTTTTCGTCGAGTTGGCGATCGGGAGGAGTGGTGTTGGCTCATTTTTGGTCGTAAATCTTACTTGCAGAGATTTCACGACTGCACAACTCAACGAAATCAACCATCTACACCCCAGATACGAACCGCAGACAGATTTTAACCTGTCTGATGTTCGGATTACAACAGCCGACACCTTCAAGATCTTATTTTCTATTTCTCTGGAAAATCATTCCCAGCCAAACTCATTTCGCGGCCCTCTGAACAATAATCTCACCACCTACCTAAGCAATCCCATACCTCCAAAAGCCAAATCACCAACAAAGAAGCAAGAGGATATCCGACTCTCCGCAACTGCCAGTCGCAGTGATGGTACAGTCGAAATACCGGCCTTAAATACGTCCTCACCTCGGCCAGGGGCACCAATAACTCGACCTGCGACGTATCTCTGCCGACGAAATACGTACGAAATTTCACTGGCATGCCAACTAGAGCATTCGACAAAGGCTGGGGCACTGGTGCCTCGGTCCTGAGCTCTCAGTCACATTTTCGACCTCCACGGTTAGGGGTACGGCAGCGACGGGGCAAGGCCGGAGGAGTGGATATTCTACGAAGTTTCTGGGATGACGAGATCAGCTGAAGGACAGAGGGATGCTGTATGAAGGAACCAAAAGGGAATTCAAACTGAGGAGACCTCGGTGGACGTCTGGAGAAGCTTCCAATGAAGAAAAAGACTCCGGGATGAGATGAGCCAAAGCTGGGAATGAATCGGAGGGAAAAGTTACAGATAGCGAAGGTGTCAAGGGCTCGGGCACGTGGTGGTCGAGTCTGAGGAGGAATTTGCGCTTCAGCGCGTCAAAAGGGCGTTCTCTGGACGGTTGGGCTTGACGTGATTCAACACATGGGTGAAGTCTGAGGTGGGACGAGGTAGATGTACTTAATGGTAGTTAACCTGATCCAGCCCGGCCTCAACCGTGCTTAGGCTCTAGTAGGAGTGCAACGGTAGTCACTTTACCTAGCACGGTAATGAACAAAACAAAACAAACGATCAGTTCAGATGGTAGGGTCGGAGCCCTACTCATCACCGACCCTTGATTATGGAGAAGCCATCCGATGAGTTTTCGGAGCGTACCTAGCACCCGATATGGAGATGGTCGATTGGATCAAGTCGGCCTCGACTGTTACAAAGAAGGGAGATATAGATTAATATGCGCACATCATGTGGTCCCGATGTCCCGGCCTCACCTGGCTGGGGCTACAGGTTTTTGGAGACTTTTTCCCGCGCACGCAGTTTCCATTGCTACCAACTATTTTTTTTGGGTAAAAGGTTCCGTGGAAAAGATGGCCGGTTCCCACTGGTAAACACTGTGCTAAATGGCTATTCATCACGGGCAGTATATCAATGATCTTTTAAGGAACATGAGAGGTAAAGAGCACTGTACAAGGTGTGGCCTGGGTCAGATATGAGCTCAACGTGCGAGATAGTCATAGACTCAAGTAGCACAACAAAAAACACGCACAAGATCCATTGTAGTTAGGAGCCACGAGACACCACGTGATAACCTTTCATTCTTACACCCACTACACCCTTTACTAAGCACACAACGCGCGCTCGGAAACCTCAATGAGCCCGTGCCACCTCACCGACGGACAGCAGACTCATATAATTATCCTACACCTCTCGGCTCATAACCACAAAATCTTGCCAGAAGGAGTCATGCTAGGCTGATAATGGTTGGGACCCCTGGATTATAGAGATTTCTCGACTAAACAAATGACGAAGAAATTTATCAAGATTATTCAAGCTGATTATAGCACTCCCCCTCGATAAACCAAACAATTTTTGAGGTGCCTGGTCAATGGCTAAAAAGTCACAACACGACGCGCAACTCTTTCCTCCGACTCTGTTGTTGTTTGGGAGTATCGGAGGACGCCAAGTTTTGGTTACTGGGTATGATGGCTCTATGCCGAAATCAAAGCCTGCGAGTGCAGATAGGGGAGATGCTGGGCCGTGGAAGCTTTGGAAGGGGCTATAATGAAGGACTCACGATTGCAAGAGTATCAACCAGAGGGTTTGTAGAGGCAGTCAACCCTTCAAAATTCTTAAAAATTTCCGAGGTGCTGGTCAGTACCAGATGAAGAACTGCCAAAAGGAAAGGGATTATAATGTAGCTGGAAAGCCGCAAGAGTCGTGTCAGAAATCAGCGTGCAATAGTCATCAGCTCAGCGGAACAACCGTGGAAAGAACTGAGTACTAACTCTTGACGGGTACACCTCGGAAAACATTGAAGCCAGCACTAGTGGTAGCAGTAAAGCAGGGAGTCAGTGCCAGTACTGATGATGATTCGACCACCGTCTCAAACAAGTAGCCAGAAGGACCAGGAAGAGGGCCAGGGTGGCTGCGTTAGATACCCCTGTCAACGATAATTGCAAAATACCCAATGGCATTCAGAAGGGCGCCTATCCCTATACTAACTGATAGCTGGGGTCCAAATATTGATCTCGAGAAGCAGGATAGACCTCTTGGATACTTAACTTTACCGTAAGAGGAGGTAATGAAACAAGCGGAGAGATTCAAAGTAGAAGCGAGGAGAGGCGTTTTAATCCTCAAGCTGGGAGCTGCTAACGTAGTAGATCGTTAGGTTTTGTTACTTCAAAGCTTTTACATAAACAATACAGCCATCCGGCCTTTTGAAATATTGAGCAGGAACAGAAATGGACTGCAAACAAGAACCAATGTATTTGGTGTAAGCGGCAATAATCCATTTTCCCGTTCAGCGCAAGTGTTCTAGCATAATTTCTTACATTAAAGTTAGACTAATTCATGGATACCCTTTAAGATAACCATGATATTTAATTCACTATCCTAAATGTATTTCAGGTCACACAAATATCCCAAGTTTTTAAAGTTTCAATAATTATAATTTTTATACTGTAAGTAGAGACATTTTTGTAGGAAATTTTAGGAATTCCCAACCGTTCCCAATCCTATCATCTATAATCCAATCAATTTTCTGTGTTATTTTTTGACCCACTGGCACTAATGGATTCTATCATAGACTTTACCACCTTAACTTCAGCCATTATTTCAGTTCCCGCTGTATCAGCCTTCATTTCAGATAAGCTCTTATTCTGACTCTCAAGGGCATTTACAATTCCTCCAATTGAAGATTCAATACCAGACAGGTCAATTTTTTCAGGTGCTGGCGCTGGGGCAGATACTGTCATTTTGATCTCGTCAACGGTAGTGGTAAGCTTTCCAACTGAGGATTCGATCCCGGAAAGATCAACTTTTTCAGGTACTGGCGCTGGGGCAGATACTGTCATTTTGATCTCGTCAACGGTAGTGGTAAGCTTTCCAACTGAGGATTCGATCCCGGAAAGATCAACTTTTTCAGGTACTGGCGCTGGGGCAGATACTGTCATTTTGATCTCGTCAACGGTAGTGGTAAGCTTTCCAACTGAGGATTCGATCCCGGACAGATCAACTTTTTCAGGTGCTGGCGCTGGGGCAGATACTGTCATTTTGATCTCGTCAACGGTAGTGGTAAGCTTTCCAACTGAGGATTCGATCCCGGACAGATCAACTTTTTCAGGTACTGGCGCTGGGGCAGATACTGTCATTTTGATCTCGTCAACGGTAGTGGTAAGCTTTCCAACTGAGGATTCGATCCCGGAAAGATCAACTTTTTCAGGTGCTGGCGCTGGGGCAGATACTGTCATTTTGATCTCGTCAACGGTAGTGGTAAGCTTTCCAACTGAGGATTCGATCCCGGACAGATCAACTTTTTCAGGTACTGGCGCTGGGGCAGATACTGTCATTTTGATCTCGTCAACGGTAGTGGTAAGCTTTCCAACTGAGGATTCGATCCCGGAAAGATCAACTTTTTCAGGTACTGGCGCTGGGGCAGATACTGTCATTTTGATCTCGTCAACGGTAGTGGTAAGCTTTCCAACTGAGGATTCGATCCCGGACAGATCAACTTTTTCAGGTGCTGGCGCTGGGGCAGATACTGTCATTTTGATCTCGTCAACGGTAGTGGTAAGCTTTCCAACTGAGGATTCGATCCCGGACAGATCAACTTTTTCAGGCGCTGGCGCTGGGGCAGATATAACCGTCTTAATATCCATTATGCTTTCTACCTGTGCTGCTACGGCACTGCTAATATTATCAATTGAGGTGCTTACTTTAGACAATTCTGCGGCTGTTGCAATGCCATCTGAGAGTGCAGAATGTAATTCAGAAAGAATGTTGTTTTGAGCGGAAACATCTCGTTGTGTACCCTTGACGGCATCAAGAATACCAGGATTTGTTGTACTTAGGTCATCAAGTACTTTAGAGTGTGATGAGTGCGAGGCATTGGAGGCTTTAGTCTCGGCCAGAATTTCATTCAAAGAATCGAACTGGGATTGGAATGACGTTAAGTAGGTAGATATAGCGGTGACTTGAGACTTAAGGCTGGCTATCTCAAGAACGGGGGCCCTCAATTCCTCTAAGGTTGCACTCTGCGCAGATTGAATGTCAGTTGAACTCTGAATGCTGGAAAGAATATTGGAGCTGGCGTCACTGTCTTTAAGATTCGATATAGATGTAGCCTCATTTTCAATGGCTGCTTCAACACTAGTGACTCGGTCGTTTAGGGCTGAAAAATTACAAGCAATATTTTCTGAGAGGCCTTCTTTAGCGCTTGAAATCTCGACCGAAAGGTTTCCGACGGACGTTGCCGTGATTTCTTTGACGGTGTCTAAGTCTGACGTGATATTGGCAAATTTTGTGGCCTGCTGTGACTCAAATCCCTTGATACAATTTTCGAGCTCCCCTAGCGATGTGGATATTTTTGCAACGGCCGACTCGATAGCAGTTATCCTCTCTGAAGTGTTTGAATCGCTTGAGCTAAGGAGAGTTGACAAGTGTGTAATTTTTGTGTCGTGAGCATCGAGCTGTTGCGTAATTTTATTTGTGGAGACTTGAAGATTGCTTACGTAGTTGGAAGAATCCAAGGCCGAGAGAGAAGGTTGTAACTCAGCTGCTAGGCGGACGGCCAAAGCTTTTTGAAATTCTTCTTTATCAACAACGGCCGATACAGCTTCAGATATAGATTTTTGGATACGCTTTTCATCAGCTTCTTGCTCTTCCTCAGATCTATCGGTATCCTCTATGACAGGAAGTTTTGGGGATATTAGACTAGCTCTGATTTTGTAGAACATATTGGTAGACGGCATGACCCCGTATAAGAACTTCGGAATGTTGTAGATGAAGCCTAGAAACGACATCCACGAAGATTCAGTGTATTGCGATAGTAAAAATTGCTGATCAAGGTGATTGCCTTTAAATGACGTTAGTTTATTGTCAATAGCTTAGATTGAAAATACTCTTTTGTACAAAGTAAAGTTTATGCAATGGCTTATCTTGGTCAATAAGACGGTGTGAAGGGTTAGACGATCAAGAGAGGTGCCGCCCGATATTTTCGCCCAAGCTACTTTGGGCTAATTGGGATTTGCATTGGTTTCCATTTACCGCTGCCGACTGGGTTGAGGACCTGGATGCGTCTGGTGTGTTACCATTGCGGCAGATATTGTACAAGGAGGGTTAGTGTAAGTAGGCGAGAATGCAGCTGCCATTACAAGAAAGACATAACTCTTCAGAAGGCCAGTCAACTGGAAACCCAATTTCTCGTGAGTCCAACATGAATGTGTCAGAAATCAACGTGGTTGTGTTGAAATTCCAGAATTGGTCTAATATTCTGGCCGTGAATAAATTGAGAATTACAGAAGGCTTTGTTAAACTCAAGCATCAAAAGAAATATATGTCTGGCAAGGTATGCTGGACATTAGAAAGAATATCAAGAAAAAATGAACTAATTTTTCCTAAGGGCCCAGGTAATCTCTGAATTGTCTCACATTGTTGATTTTTGCACTGAGACAGCCTTGTGTCAGCCACAGAAGTCCCCTCATTTACAGCTCTATCGCATTGACATTTTTCATTAGTAGAGGGTAGTTATGGAGCCAGCCTAGTCTTCTTTTAAAATTGGACAAGTCCCCTTTCGTACTGGGAATAAATATGCTAGTCTAAAAACTTAATTTGCCTCTTCAAATCTACATCCCAAGGATAGTGTCGACATACGGATTGAAAATAAAGTGTATTTGGTGGAGTTAATCTCAATACGATTAAATTGGGTTAAAAGGCAAAATTTCCTTGCCCCAACCTCCCCCATGAGTCTTCAGGATCCGGCCGGCAAGCCTTATCGGACACTTCAGATGGGTCATGATGCATTAGGATAAGTCCTGTTATCGGCATTGGAAGAGGCCGCACTGAAAGGTTTGTGCGATTTTATCCGCCTGCCAATCATTCGTAAACGGCCACTATTTTTGTCAGTTGACGGGAAATGATCATCAGGGTCAAGGGCCTACAAAAATTCCGGGTCAAAGTGAGTACTAGAAAGGCGTGGCACCGTTTGAGTGAAGCTTCATCGAAGCATAGTATGGAATGTATTACAAACACAGATTTCCTTTGCCTGCAGGCAGAAAGGACCTAATTATCCTTATGGTATTGGACTGAGATAGGATAAGAATTTAATTGTGTGTAAAAAATCTATAAACTTGTTTATTGATTTGTTCGAATCCTGTGAAGAGGTCCATAAAGACAAACGGCCGCATTGCACAGACATTAAGCTTTAAAGCATGAAAACCCGACGTTCCTCTACAATGAAAGGACCTAGCTTGATGTCGAGGACTTTCCTTTCAACAATTAATTCATAGTTATTGACGCTATATCCCCCGTCGATAAGATTATGTTCATGAAAAATTTATTAAGAGAAGGCACACCCTCGTTCGACGTAGGTGGTGGAAGCGTTCGAAGAGATGGCTCGGATGGTACTTTTTGTGCCGGTGCACTTCATGAAGCTACCGCGGTTGGACGGTGTGGTGGTTCATCTAAGCCGGTTTTTTAAGTAGAGACTAAATAGCCTGGACATGTATCCTACTTGAGACAGAGATTATTGGTTTGAATCAAGCGAGACTAAACTACTTTTCTCGCGGCGCTGGTGCATTCTGTATGTGTTTATTGACCTATGAAGTCTATGGCTATGTAAGGGCATGTAGGTCATTTCTACCTACAGGCCAGGATTATCTATGCCTCGGGTAGTGTACTACCTCCAATGCCTCCTCCATGACTTTTTTCCAGCAGTAATACCCCCACAGGTCATCATTCGAGTACACACGAAGAGGAGCCGTTGTCCCGTCATTATCTCCCCTCTCTAGCCAACGAAACGACGGCCATTTGCGGGTGTGTAGCTGCAGGGGAAAAGTCTCAAATACCACTGAATGCGGAGCTCTCCTATTACGATGAGGCCGGCCAGCCAGGCGCAGTAGACCTGTGTACACCTAACAGCGTCTCTCAACTTCCTGCCTCCTCCTTACTCATGCCGCAGGACAAATCGAAGGTCGTGAAAAGATGTCAGAAAAGTCTTGGTCGAGAGTGACTGTCGTGAAGGAGCCTAGCCTAGCATCCGAAAGTCGTTACGGACGTGGGTTTGTCGAGTAGCTCATGTATTTCAGATGCCCTCCTGGCTAGTAGATTCGGAAGAGTAGATTAGTAGGACGACATTTTTGACGAGTCGAAATCTGCTTTTCCTGAGGGCGGAAGAGTCTTTTACTTTGCTTTCGTGGGCTTTTTGTTCGCCCGCCGGTGGGTAGCACATGTTGTTATAGAATGAGGGCTTCTCTGACTACCGTTGTAGCGTTTGGTACCGCATTATCTTTCATCATTCCCAGCATCATTATCATCGTCTTGGTCGACTTATGTGTTATCGGAAGTGTATCTTTGACGGAGGGGGAGATAACTCAGCTCAAAGTTGGAAAGGTGTTACTCAATCCTGGCTCTGCAGACTCTTCAGTGAGAGCTAGAGGTTTGTAGGGGACACAACTGGCAGGTGTTGAGAATAGTCCCCGACGGCGCTAATGTACATGGATGACGAAGGTATGCTCGGATAATCATGAATCTTGAAGCTTCCCTCTGGTGAGTATTCACGGAGGAGTCGACTATTTGGAGGGCAAGACTGAACACCTGTACGCGGTGTCCTCTACGAACCTGGTAGCGAAACATTCTCCCAGAGCCAAGTTTAGTCAAATTTCGCAATATCAAAGAAGTTGGCCCACGAGGCAAAATTTAAAGTTACTCCATCACAACGTTTTTCCGCTCCCAACGAGTTTGACTCTTACCTAAGTCTCATCAAGACTACAAGTACGACCTAGTACATCCTCGTTTCAATGACCACACCTCTCTTCGACCTTCTCTGGCCTCAGCTGGTCGCCAGATACACGCCCACGCCGATATTTACACGCGATGGAGGAAGCAAAGCGTGGAGCACAAATCTGGGAGACAGTTCTTTGGGATGGACGTGAGAGGGATCAGGTCAAGTTCACAAGATGATGCAGAGGATGGATACAGTCCCGACGGGCGTGGAATTTTGAGTTTAGGAAAGGAATTTCTACAAATTGAGCTTTGTGCGTGCCAAGACTTCGGCTGCGAGAGTGCAGGCGACACTATAAAAACTGCTATGGTTGGATGGTGCGGTGGTACATCGTCTTGGCCAGTCTGCCAAGTAGAGTCTGGATAGCTTGGACACATATCCCACTTGAGACAGTAGATCGCTGGTTCAAATCCAGCAAAACACAACTACTTTTCTCACGGCGCTGGTATGCATGGATGACGAAGGCATGCTTGGATAATCAAAGATTTTTAAATTCCCTATGGCGGGTACTTACGGAGGAGAGTCGATTGCTTGTGTAAGCGAACATACCTCATAGTGGTATTTGCAAATGAGATCCAGAGTATGAGTGTCTCTAACGTCAAAAGAGTCATCCAACATGTATAAATAGCACCAGTCATGTGTCATAGCTAGATAGCTGAATACACATTAAATGATTAAAAAAAAAACTTGAATAAAGTTAAGTTGGTGTTATCCACTACACTAAGCGTGCGTCAGGCATCAACATGTTGAAGGCAAATAGTTGTGGGTAAACTAAGCGCGTGATATAACCTTTGAATTTGATTTCTATTAGCCCGATCAGGCACCCTATGGGTCCATGCAGATGACTATCTGCATTATTTACAAAGGAGGAAACCAATTTGGTGAATACCCCCTGATCCTGTCTTTTTATGTTCCTATCAATATATTTGGTTTATCTTCAGGAAGTGCAGTGTACACTGTTCAGCCCGTGTGAATTCCGTCCTCTCCCCTTCCACATCTATTTACTTTATCCGACATTGCTACCTCGACTTCTCCTGCTAGTCGAAACTGTTTTATCCACCCTTTGTTCAGTATTCCATGTTTGATTTTAGCCACGTCTTCTGGGCTGTTCATCATTGCTTCAAATGACCTGTCTTTAGCTTGTCGGAGCAAGTCGCCTCTTCCATTTGCCCACTGCGGACACGCCAACACCATATACTTGACGTTTTGCGACGGATATCCACATTGACAGCTCGGCTTTTCTACTCCGGATACTTTTCTTCTGCTCAGGTAAGAATTGAGTCCGATATGCTCGCTCCTTAGCTGAATGGCGACACTGCTTTGGGCCCTGGTTAGGCCACGGTGGATTCTTAAGGGTGTATATTTGAAGTTCATTTTAAAGCTGCCTGTTTGTTTATCAGTAAATATATTTGCCGCTTTCCAATGTTCTGGATCGGCTGATGCTGGTCGGCCAGGGCGGTGTTTCCTGATCTGGCTTGTCCATGAATCTTTCCACTCCTGAAAAGCCGCTATCTTTCCAGCATCTTTTTGCCTTCTCTCATCCTTTTCCCTTCCGCAAGTTCTTGTCCACTCGACGATATCTTTACTCTTGTTCAACGCATGCGGTGTTTCTCTCCCGTTTGGGGGCAGCTTTATCCTCTTACATATCGATCAGATTGTCTCTTGAACTGGGAGTTTATCTGATAGTCCGGCGTGCTGGACGTGATATAACCTTAATATATGCAGTGAGGAGTAGTCTTCTCTATAAGAAAACAGGGTATCTTTTTGTAATTACCACAAATACAGTTCCGCATTTCTTCTGACCCAATTGATCGTATCGACTTAATGCGTTACCATTTGTCATAACGTTACTATTTATGAGCCTAGAGCCAAGCACAGTCAAATTTCGCAATACCAAAGAGGTTGGCCCACGAGGCAACGATTCAAAATACTTCACCATGTCAGATTTTCACTCCCAACGAGATCGACTCCTACCTAGGTCTCATGAAGTTTACAAGTACCACCAAGTACATCCTTATTCCAATGACTACACCTCGTCTCGGATTTCTCTGGCCTCAGCTAGTCACTAAATATACACCCACGCCAATATTTACACCCGACGGAGGAAGCAAAGCGCTGGGCACAAATTTGGGAGACAGTTCTCTAGGAGGAAGGTGAGAGGGATCAGGTCAAGTTCACGAGATGATGCAGAGGACACAAACAATCTCGATAGGCGTGAAATTTGGAATTTTGGCAAGGAGTTTTGCAACTTGAGCTTTGTGCGCGCCAAGACTGTACTTGCGAGAATGCTGACACTATAAACACAAGCCGATGATGGAAGGTGTTGTGGTCCGCCTCTTGGCGGTGTTCTCGGGTATAGTCTGAGTAGCCTGGGCACCTACTTCATATGGGAAGGAGACATTTCAGATCACATTTCGCGCGGAGAAAATTCGGTGGATGATGGAGGCATGTCTGGATAACTCGGGATTTTTTGAGACGTTTCAATGGGTGGGTATTCATGGATGAGGGCTGACTTGGGGTGAGGAAAAAGCCACCATAACTTCGACAAAATGATAATTTAACTGCACAACATAATCCAAAATTAGAAAAAAATGCAGATGGTCCGGATTTCGCGCTCATCGGCGGATCCCTTTCCTGCCACATCTTTCAAATAGCATTTCTTGACCTCCGTTGAGGGCCAAAAGTGAGTTTGTAAGTATCCCTTATCGTCAGCCGCCTCCCTTCTCTGTGTTACCGATGCTTAAAAGACTCCTTCGAGGGTGGCTGGGCCCTCATGTTTCTTCTTCGGACTCCGAACCCTCTGCCATCTGTACATCCTTCGCTAAGGCAAAACTTTGCTATTCGGGGGCAAGGGCCCCCTGGGTGTATGATCGAATGAGGACTTGTAAGGGGCGGTACTTTTTGAGGAGAGCTGTATAGCAGGAATAGCAGGGGATATACTGCTACACAAGTATACTTGGCCTAAGACTGAGAAAGGATAATAAAGGAATAAATAAAAAGATTACCTGGCTGGCCCTTTTGGCTGCAGCTGTGAACCACCCTTGCGCCGCTTGGCGAATCACCGCGAGCTGCACCAGAGTCGCTGGTCCGTGCTTTTAAAATTCATTAAGTGTGTGCAGCCTCACTAGATGTGACCCAATATTAAGGGTTTGTACTTGGTGGGTATGACCATGCAGTCTCGATAATCCGTGATGAGGTCTCCCACAGTCTCTACGTCGCGTAGAGGCTCTGCGCTCTGTTTTCGAGTGCGTTGTGGAACTACAATTAAAGCCCGCTTGAGCGCGGAAGTCTTTCATATTGTATATATGTGTGTTGTCTATTGTGCTACTTAACTCTAATCCTTACAGTACATTAATTCTGAATTTGCATCCTAGATAAATAGCTACAAATGCAACTGAAGTCTAGGTCAAAAATTGATGAATTCCGTGTGTAAGCAGGTTTTGCAAATGCAAATTAGATGAGGAAAATGAATGTAAACATGACATATTAAAAATAATTGGGGAAGTAAACTGGCTCATACAACGGTGAACGTTTTAACTCAACGGAGCTGTCTCTTCAATATTCGTTGCTCTAACATGCATTGGGTAGCTTTGAGTCGTTTTGATGTAGTGATCACATTCGTTGCAAGGATTCGGATACCAATCATTTAAGCAGAAGACGTACAATCAAGATCGATACCTGTAAGGGATAATAGCATTAAGGCTGATTTACACTTCATAAGGAGAAGGCTAGGACTGTATATATTTTATGATTACCTGCACCAAGGTCGAAGGATAAACTACGCAGCAAATACTACAACTCATAAAGTATTAGCCTATCAGAGTCATCTCGTATGTTTGCTCATGTACACATCCCCATCACTACATCCACTTGGTTATTATACTCCTTCTGATACAATTACAAGACCATCTTCAAACTTTGACTTCATCATGAATTTTAGCACCAACTTAAAAGAACACTTAAATAATAAACCATTGGACAAAATATTAAAATCTTTCCGGGCTCTTTATTATGACAACTTTGACTCCCCTTCCGAATTTGTCTTCGAAAACCCTAAAAATGGAACAGAATTTCAATTTATCGCCAAATTTCTTATTAAAAAATTCATTAGTTACGTCGAGGAAAATTCTGATAGATTAGACAATGCCAGAAGGTTTCTGTCTCGACTGGGGAGAATACATTGCTGTATAGATACAACTTTTTTTGACATAGCTCCATACGAACCAATCGCTACCTTGATTCTGAACCATGCAACTGACCTTGAAGTTTGGAATTCCCTCGTGCAGCTTGCTGATACTCTTGAGTCACTTGAGTCAGCTACCGACGCGGAGCTTAACTTGCAAGCTTCCAACTTCATTTGCATGTGAGTTGTAGGAATGCATGATTGTTCTCAGACGAAGACGGGAAATTCGAAGGATTCGATGAGCGGAGAGCTTGTTGACTCAGGATTGTTGAGCGTGAAGATGTCCTGGGAAAAACAGTTGGAGGTTAAATGACTGCTAGGATAACTTTATTATGTCACCAGAGTATTCTTGAAATGATTCACTGAATAAATTTTCGAATTTCCTGAAGTCCCTACTAGAGTTGCAGTTTGGAGATGGTAAGAGGTTATTGTAAACGACATACTTGATCCAGATCGAGATCTTCTCCATGTATCGCCGTCAGACGCAGCCAGCCCCTCACAGAAACGATTTGGACACGGCTCCGCAGGATTCTATCTTCTAGCGTCTGCTACTGGACTGCCCATTGGAGGTCAATCTGAGTGGTCGATGGGCCACTTTATCGTGCGGCGAGATTTTTCCACTATTTATTACCTCCATTGGCACAATTTGCATGTAGTCGGCGAGCTGACTGTATGTTCGAAGGGGCTTTTCTGGCAAAAGTTCCTTCAACCAAGTGTATATACGCGTGTAGCTTCCTTGGCCCAGCCTCCTTGTGAAGCACCTACAGCACTAAGTGTACGATCGTTCGGGACCTCATTTTTGCCCTTACATTAATATTGCCGAGTTATCAGAGAAGCTCATGCATGTCTTGGTAACTTTTATGTTGATGGGTGTCGATAACCTAGAGTTTGTAAAACTTTCTTGAATCGTTCTTGAATCCTTTTTGGATTCAGCACTACATGCTATATAAGTACAAACAGCTTTACATCATTAGGGTCTATTTCACATGATACATCCCCTATTTTCTCCTGCAACATTGGCTGATACCGACGCAATGAAAACCAGCTGATTAAATATCAATTACTGTAAACCAACAATGGACGACGAAAAACTCATTCTCGATCTCAACGTGAAAACCTAAGACAAACATGGGATGGAACAACTGAAAGTACTTGGATAGAAGCCGTTACTCAAATTCACACTGGATCATGAACTAATCGCACATTAGTGGCTATAGCTCCCTGGAGGAACAAGTGACTACCAAGCTACGGAATACAGCTTTCTATTGAAATTAACTAGTGGACACACTAGGTTTTCTCCGAGGTTGAGTTTCTTGAGATGGCGGATAATGCACCGAGCATGGCAAAGATTATCGGATCACTTGATCTGGTAAAAATGAGCCAGCCTCGCAAAAGTCTATTATTGAACATAACGATACTTCTACTAAGAATGTCATGATAATACCCTATGAGTTTAGTGGAGAGCCAAGAATTCGTAAGGAAAGCCTGAATAATCAATCAGGCTGAAAGCGAAAGAGTTAGGGACTTCAATCTAGAGAAGAAATTGGCGGTTTCATAATACAAATACGATTCACAGAAGTATGCCGGCAAATGAGTCATTTTTGAGATCGAAGAAATTACTACCCAGAATGTAGCAATTACTACTGCACAACGCTTAACTGAGATAAACTCTTGTGTATCGTCAGCCCGAACCAGTGAGGGACAGGCAACATAGTCAGTAGAGTGAAATGCAGTTATTTTAGAAAGTTCCGCCCGATTTGGAATTCATATATTGGTGTGAAACAGAAAATCTTGGAGAATGCCAAAGTGAACAACAAAGTCAAGATATTATACTTGCCAAGCAATGATTGGAACTATGAAGTTCAAGGTATTGGGTAATCTGAAAAATAGAACTTCAATAACGGACTCCAATGTCACTCATACTTATCACCACGATATAAAGTCACTCTTTATGCTTGTCTTTACTACAAAGTTTAAGGCAATTTTTACCCTTCGCACTTCTATCGGGGTCTAATCACGAGCTAGTTCGGACTGGATCAGGTTAACTACCGTAAAGCACAAATATGTCTAGTATCATCTAAGTAATTGAAGGTATGTAGGACAGTGACTGAATACCTATCTACGGTATCCTCCGAACCTGGGTGTAAAATATCTCCCAGAGCCAAGTTTACTCAAATTTCGTATTACCGAACAAGTTGGCCCAACAGGCAATGATCCAGTACTCCCTATAAAATCAGTATCTATAACTAATTAGTAGAACTATTATTTGCAGCTATTGATAGTGACATGAGCTAAGATCCTAGTCGAGATTGATTTTCTATATACTCTACAATACTTGATAATCTTAGGCTCATATGCCTCAAAAGCCAAACAACTAGATTGTACTCCTCCAGATCAAGATTCCGTGGAATAATTACTTATTCAGCAAAAATCTACTAGTATCTGTTGCGTGTCTAGTATTTCGATTAGGTTTCTAGTGATTAGTTTTTATGGATAAACGTAGTGAAAGCTGGGATGGTGTTTCATGGGGAGTTCCATGCCAAAACACAACTCGACGTTAGATTGAGTTCCTAAAAAATTAGGACAGACTCAGGAACATAAGGTCGTTTCATAGGAAATGCGTAGTAATACTATTCGAAACAGAGCTTAGGGCTGTCCTATTATCCGATGTACATATACACCCAGCGTGAAGGAGTATTCTTCACACAACGTCTTTTGTTAATACTGATATCTATTGTTCACATACTTATCTCTTCTCTAAAGAAGACCGCCGTTATTGTACCAACCTCACCTATTACATATTTTACCTTTACTTCTTCCGTGAACCTTATACCTAACGCTGACTTTATACCTCCTACTCTTAGGAATCACCACTATACTCATGTGACGGCTAGTGAGCCGATAAGATCCCTATAGCCTGTGCTATTCAGCACAGATATATTCATAGTGTCAGCGCTAAGTTGCGCTCGTATTGAAAGTCGGGAACTGCCCGTGTTTGGGACGCTGTTGGAAACTAGCGCACACATTAATAATGGGGGCACGACTGGAGGGTAGCTACTTGTGTTTGGAATATTGGAATCATGTATATATAGGGCGTTGGATGTAGCATTACTCTTGTTCTTCAGTTAATAAATAAACTTACCTTTCGACATACAAACGCCTAAGCTTTATATACCGGAACCGTTACAACTCCACACCTATACCCTACTTGTAGCCTACTCGTACCCTACGGAATGCCGATAACACAGTGCCTTGAGACTAGTCAATAATGTCTTTCCAATCACTAGGAGACAGTCATGAATGCTATAACAATGGCAAACGATGAAGCATGTCTCTACACCACAATGTCTAGATCCCCTCAGAATCGATTACGGCCAAAGCCTCATCAAGTCCGTAGGTACAAACTACTACATGCTCATTTCAACGATCACATCTCTCGTCTAATCAGCCAACGACCTTCATACACTGCCGCAAGAATTTGAATAAATGGAGGAGAAAACCTTTGGTGCACAAATCTGGGACACTGTGACAGCTTGTGAGCCGATAAGTCCTGTAGCTTCCGATGGTTATCGAAGGCAACCTATATTTTCTATCACTCCGAGGATTATCAGCAGACGAAAGCTGATATGAAATTGCCACTGAGGCTACGCAAAGGATAGTGCCAAGAGTATCGGAAGCGTTACTGTTGTGTTATCCATGTAACTTACCATGATACAGCCGGCAAAGACGAATTCTTCATCTTCCAGTGGTGCCGGTGTAATCGCTCAGTATGCTCTGCATATCTGGGATAGCCAAGAAGAATCACATCCGAATCGAAGTCGAAAGCAAACACATGCATATCTCCATTTGATGACTTCTCAATCATGCAGCACTCACCATTATCTTCTGAGTCCTCAACCCCGATCTAACCACATATCATCTTGCCTCGCCGACCGATAAAGGCGACACCCCAATTGCAAACAGGAGCTTGCCTCATTCATCACCGGCCATCACTCACTACATATTTACGACGCTACGTATACCCGCAAGGAGGAAATTAAGTCATAACATACAAAGTTGGGGTCTTGGCTTATGGGGGACTGCTGCTCTAATAGGGTTATACATCTTGAGGAAGGACAGGCTGCTGGGATGTGGAGCGAGAGGGGAAAGAGCTCTCTGGAGACCGTGTTGGAACTGACATTAGCCAGGAGGGCTTCTTCTGTCGATGAGTCAACGGCACTCCCCAGCGCCCTGGACGGCACAAAAGAAGTTTGGCTAAGTAACCATACATAAATCACGCACTGTCAAAACTTTTCTGACATTTCAGCACGACCTTCGGGAAGGAGTTGGAAGGAGGCTAGAAAGGCAGAGTGTGAATTCTCCGAGGTATTGAAAGGCTATGCTGAGCTGGAATGACGTACCGTTAGGATGAAGGTATGGAAGGAGGTAGCTATGGCTTTAAGAGAAGTAAAGTTCGTGAGTTATACTCTTAGGACTTGGATCAATGGACGAACTTGAGGATATTCCCTAGTATTCTCAAGTGTGTAAATAATATGGAGATTGTTTGAATTTCCTATTGTATGAATTGCTTAATTTTTCTACGTGACAGGACCTTCTTCTATATACATGAATAAGGGGGTTCTGCACACTAGTGGATGTTCCAACATCTGTCCTTGTCTAACCGAGAAAGGAAGGATGTGAGAGATCCTAGCGCCAATAGATACCATTAGGAATCTATTGGGAAATACTATGTCATACCAATGAGTGATGATTTAGGTCAATCATATCCCATGGCGCATGTGCACACTATTCTTATTGCGATTTATGCTAAACCTGGTGGTGTAGTTGATCACAGTTTGAGAGTATGCTCTGAGTTGCAATGGTGGCTTGTTATGGATGCGATTGCGACAATACAGTTGAGGGTGGTATGAAAGTTGGCACTTCAATGGGTCTCAATTGTGTGTGGATTAATTTAATCACTGATGATAATTATGTTATTGTACTATCTACAAAGAATGTGTTACAGTTCTATGTGTGCCAGTAATCGCTTAGATCTGGCTAGTGGGTTGACCACTCTTTTACTTCACTCCCATGTTCTATCACGTGAGGTAGTATAACTGCTCACCACGAAGTCCGCAGATTTGAACAGCGTTAGATCACAACACTTCCCCTCGCTTTGCACATCTGATATGATCTGAAAGTCGG